GGGTATATTGACTCTGGGTATATTGACACATAAGAAACAAATACTAGTTGTGGATAAGCTAATCATTCAACACTGTTTTTTTATACATTTCATAAAATTCATTGTTATAAGAAAATGACAAAAATTAAAAAAAAAATTCTAAAAAATAAACAATGACAACCAAAGTAACGAAACTGTAGACTAGCAAAAATTTTACATTTTGCAAGTGGGTGGAGCAAAACGGTACAGTTAAGAAACAACAGATATTCGTTAATTATATAGCTTTAAAAATGATAAAAAAAGAAGGCTATTTATCATTTAAACATGTCCAGGCATTAAACTCTCAAAAAAGTAACATACCCATAGAAACTGCACGCCCATACACCACAAAAAAAGAAATAACAAATAAAAAACAATAACTTTGTGTTTTATTATAAAATACCTCCGCTCTACACTAACCTATATATTATTAAATTGGAAACTAGTTCTAAATTTAAAATTAAAATTAAACAAAAAATATTATGGATTACATAAATCACAGAAAAAACATACTGAAACTATTTGTCAACATTTTTGATGAGCTGGCTTATTTGTTAGTAAACAGTGGCGTAGGAAGGTTTTCAAATGTAACCAACTTTTAAACAAAAAAAATATTTCAAATTTTTTTTACTTTTATATGTATGACGAAGAAGTTCTTCACAAAAAAAATTACTGTGATAGGAATATGGGAACTAGAAACCCTTAAAATATTAGCCCCCCCCACCTACCCTAAACGTGAGGGCAATGAGCTGATTTTTTATTTTTTCATAAATATAAACTAGTTATGTATTCATCGACAGATTTCAACTTTTATGTTCAAATTATTCAGTGTTCAGTTTTTATGATCATGTAAAAATACCCCCCTCAATTTGAGGGGGCAACAAACTTTACATAATCATAAAAACTGAACACTGAATAATCTCAACTTATTACCTTCACGTTTAGGGTAGTGTGTGTGTAGGGGGGGGGGGGAGTTGCTAAGACTTTGGGGTTTCTTGTTCCCATTCTCCTATCACAGTAATTTTTTTTTGTAAAGAATTTTTGCGTCATACATGTGAACGTAAAAAAATTTGGATATTCTTTTTGTTTAAAAGTTATTTCAAACATTTGAAAACATTTCTACGCCACTGCACAGTGTTTCGTTATATACAACCTAGCTGGACAAAAGTCAGTTCAAGAAATCAACTAATTTATAATATTTTCACAATAAACAGTCCCGCATTGGTAATAATTTACAGTGTTAATTATAAAAAATATTCCAGAGCAATTAGTAATAAGCAAATAAAATGACGTCAAAATGTAAATTTATTTTTGGAAAAATTAAGTCACAAATTTAAAGCGTTTATGAAACTATTTAGCAAAATTTTAAGGAAGAAATCATTTTATTGCAGCGATGGATTTTACTTTAGTAGGTAAGTACTATTTAATTACATTAAATATTTTATTCAAGAGAATAAAATATTTAATGTAAATAAATGGTACTTACATTGAGCAGCCGTGGCACAGTGGTTGTGCACTTGCCTCAGAACCAAATGATCTGTGGTTCAAACCCCACCTCTGGGCAAGTTATGTGACATCGGTTAGGAAGGAGGCGTGAACTTCCAATTAAATGCTCATCCGCGGTGCTCTGTGATAAGACCGTAAGGACTTCTTGGGGCATCTAAAATAAAAAATTAAAAAAAAAAAAACTTAAATTTAATTACATTAAATATTTTAAAGTGAATCAATTTGTATTAGAATAATGTTTGAAAAACTTCGTTAAAATTGTAAAATCTTTTTTTACTTTTTTTTCACCACATCAATCTACATTTTTTAGAAATTTATTTATTTTCAGATCACGTGTGCTCTTTTTTAAAAATAGAGATATTTAAAGTATGGCGGAAACATAATCAAGAATAAGGAAATTTTTGTTTATCGGATTTTATTTTACAAAGATTTTGTGATAATGATGTAATTAATGTAACTAAAGAATCAGAGAGGTCTTTGCAGTTAATTTTTATTTTTTACATCTAAATTTGCAATCAAAATGGTCTGCAGCACATATGATGGTGGACCGTTTTTTAAACAAAAATAAATGTTGGTTAGAGAGAGCAGATGTAGAGTTTAAAATAAGTATACGAGTAATGAATGATGATGAAAAATAGAATAAAAATAAAGATGATGAAAAAGGAAATCACATCAGTGATTTCTTTTTTCATCATCTGGAGGATTTCAAGGACGGTCAAAAAAAAAAGCCAAAGGTTGAAGGTAAACCGCTGCTGAACAAGCATGTCGTATGTTGGGGCACAGAAACCAAGCAATTTTAATCATAAAAAATTTAGAATCATTAGAAAAAATATAATCAAAAATTTGTGGTGGCAGGCAGTTGAAGCGTGATGAGGCATTAGCTTGTTACATTGACTCTAAATGTACAAGTCATCCTTATAAACAGACGCGAAAGTGGTCTTTAAAGAAAGGGGAATATAGTATTTCCATCTTATTATAATCTATGCAATCAATCAAATATCAAAAAAGTTATGTTATTCATTAGATAAACATATTTCTTTTACAAAAACACATGCCAAAATACTTGTACATAGCACGGAAGTTATAAAAACAAGTCTTCTTCCAATCGGACAGCTATCAAAAGAGTGTCAAGAAGCCATTAAAAGTTTTCATCAATTCTGCGAGCATCATACAAGAAAAAACTCACGTATTTCCACAAATATAGATTTGCTCAATATACTATTGGTAACATCAGATCCTGTCTTCAACTCATACAGAGAATTGTCAAGTAAGAGAACGAGTAAATTACCGTTAGAAGTTTTGGATTTAATTGTCCCACCTGAATTTAATTGTTCCACCATAGCTAGTTGGAAATACAATTCTGTGTGGCGAAGAAGATTATTTAGGGTCCGATTCTTCAGATAGCGAAAATAACAATAATTCATTCGATGATATTTGTTGAGAAAACATTTTTCTTAATTTTAAGTTATCAGCTGAATTATAGCATATTTTTTTATTTTTATTTTTAGCAAAATTTTATAACATAACTTATGCGTTGAAGTAATTTATTTTTTTTACCTAATTAACTTTTTTACCTAAAAACCTAATTACTTTATACAAAATTTTTTTCACGACTTAAGCTTTTTCTTTGTTTTTAATTTAATGAAAAATTAAATATATAATTTTTTTCCCCTTTTTTTTTGATTGCATATTTAGTAGGGAAATCAATCAATAAAGTTTAGTTTTTACGGAAAACTACTCCGCCATTATTTATTTATTTTTTGAAAAACACTATTTATCGATTTCCTTAAGATAAAGAACAAAGAAGTATTTGGATAAAATGTATTCCAAAATCTAACCTTTTAAATTTCAGATGAAACTGTTATTTGCCAATTACATTGTCCACCAATTTTTGAAAAAGTTACTGTACTAATAAAAACAAAGACCAAAAATGCCACCATCTGTATGGCCAGAAATACTTATGCAACCCTCAGAACTAGGAAAAATGACCTTAAACCGTTAGAGGTTGGTATAAGGTCGGCAAAAACAATTTGACACAAAGAGCTTACCATAAAATATAGAAACGAGGTCGGCAATTTTTTGCCGACCTCAAACACTTTCAGGTCGGCAGTTAGGTCAGCATTACCGAATGCCGACCCTAATTCTGAGGGTTGCCTATAAGCAGAGAATTATTAGGAGCGGGTCGTGACCCGAGGCGCCAATCTTAGAAGAGAATGAAATTCCCAAAAAATAAATCAAAAAAATAATTACCAATTAGAAACATATATTTTTGAAGGTCATTTTAATGTTTATTAAAAATATGACTGAAATGTGCCTCCATACATAAACTCTTACTTATAAAAGCTTATATATTGAAGTGCTTACACACTAACATAGTTATTTTATATTTATTTTATTATTTTATATTTATTAATTGTTTTTTTAAGTTTTTTAAATTTTGAGACTAAATGGACAGTTCTATCATCAAATAATAACGTTAAAATACTTTCACAAAATCGTAAAAAAAAAGAAGGTAAAAACACTGCATTTTGCATCATTTTTTAGATTGAAAAAACGCATCATTGGTTTCTAAAACTTAGTTAAAGCATACTTGAAAACTTCTGAAAATTAAAGTTCTATAATATATTACACCAAAAATATATCGAACGCTCAATTTGAGAAGATTAGAAAACAGCACCTTAAAAGTGATGAGAGACAAAATTGTTTCAAGTAAAGTTGGTATCTATGCAGCAGAAAAAAAATACTTCAGATGATATTTGTATTGAGAATTATTTTGAGATATTTGTATTGAGATTAATGACAATTCTACAGATGAAGTTTTTAAACAGATCAAATAATGACTTAAGTTCAGATCATCAGACAAAAAATGATGCTTTTCGATTGTCAGAGCAAGAAAGAAGGTATTTTTTTTAAACACGCTGTGTGATTTTGACAACAGAATGCGACGCTTCTGCACAAAATGGTATTGAAAATTTTTCTGACCATTGGTTGATGTACAGCATTAAAAAAGAACCTGTTTTTTTTTTGCTGTTAGTTATTTTCAAAAACGAAAATCAAAAATTTTTTTAAATTTTCAAAAGGATTATTGAAGATGGTATTTTGATTTAAAACTTTCGAAAAAAACATTGAAGAAGGAAAGACTATGGACTCTGATCTCCAGAAAGTTATCAATGGAGAGATAAAAGAAAATCTTGCCCTTCGTGGCACTACAGTAGTCATCGGTAAAAAAAAGAGTGGAATTTTTATGATTAAGTTGAGAGGCAACTAATATCCTTTAGTAGCCACTCTTCTTCTTTTCAAATGGTTTTTTGCAAGAACTCTTTATTTGAAGTAGCTGATATCTTGAACTGTAAGCACAGCAAAATTGAATTATTTTATAAGGTAACATTTTTCTTAAAATGAGATATACGTTTCTTGTTTAAAGAAATACATTTTTTTAATGGTGCCAAAACCCACATATGGTCCATCTGACACATATGGTCCACAATGGTCCATCTGACATTGGTGGACGTGAAAGTTTTATTCAAACTAATTTGGTGTCGACTTCACAATCAGATGATGATATTTTAAAGTTGGAGTTACAAAAATTTTGGGAATCTGATCCAATGACATTACTTTTAACGGGGAACGATATGTAACAAAGCTACCATTGAAATCAGGTGTGAATTTTTACCTGATAATTACAATATTAGTTTAAAACGGCTTACTTCATTACAAAGAAAGTTTGAGAAAAACCCTGAATTAAAACAACGATACCAAGAAGTAATAACCTCATATGAAAATCAAAACATTATAGAGAGAGTCTATTATCCAGGTGTACCTGGAAAAGTGCGTAATCTACCTCATCGTGCAGTAATTCGAGACGATAAAGAGACAACAAAGTTACGTGTAGCGTTTGATGGTTCAGCAAAAGAGAATGGTCCTTCAATCAATGAAAGCTTGTATACTGGACCATGTTTGCTGACATGGATATATAGTACACTTTTACGTTTTCGCATGTTCAAGATAGGACTAATATCTGATATCCGCCAAGCGTTTCTAAATGTTGGTATATGCAACGAGCTTAAATATTTATTAAGATTTATATGGTATGATGATAAGAATAACTTGTTATTTATTTACCGTTTCTTGCAAATAGTATTTGGAATCACAAGCATTCCTTTTTTGTTAAATACTACTATTAAAAAGCACATGGAAAATTATTCAGATGCATTTAAAGAATTTACTAAAAAATTTCTAAAAGACTTATTTGTTGATGATTCTACGGTTGGTGTGAACACATTGAGTAAAGGTATTCAATTTTATGAATTTATAAAAGAAGCTATGAACAAAGGAAGATTTAATCTTCGAAAGTGGTTTAGTAAATCACCAGAGTTAAGTGAGTACAATGCAGATAAAAAGAAAAATAAAGCCTTGCTGAATCAGGAAGATAGTTATGTAAAGTTTAAATTAAATAGAAGTAATTATATGGAAGTTAATTGTGTAAGAGTTTTGGAACTATTATGGAATGGTAAAAGCGATGAGCTCGAGTTTAAATTTTCGGCTATTGTACAAGAAGCCTTGAATTTGTCCTTAACTAAAGGAAATTTGCTTAGTGTAGGAGCTATATTTTATGATCCATTGGGTCTTATTTCACCAATTGTTATTGTGACAAAACTATTATTTCAAGCTTTGTGTATTGATAAACTTGATTGAGATGATAAATTACCTTCTGAAATTCATGAAAAATGGTTAACGTATTTAAAAAGATTAGAAGTTATTTCCAGCATTACTGTACCAATATTGTTAAGAAGGGGTGTTCAATATATTATTTAAGCAGAGAAATTTAGCAGTTTAACTCAGCTATTGAGAGTTTCAGCATACGTTTTACGATTCGTGAATAATATTAAAATGAAAGTTATTAAGTACCAAGGAGAGTTGACAACAGAAGAAATTAATTTAGCTGAAATATTATGGATCAAGTCTGAACAAAGTCTGTTTAAGAAGGAAAAAGATTTTTGCCAAGGTTATAAAAACATCAAGCCACAGCTGAATTTATTTATTGATGGACATAACATTCTACGGTTGAAAGGACGTTTTAAAGATCTGTATATTGGAATATACAGAAAAGTATCCAATATTACTGAGAAGTTATAGTCATTTTACTAAGCTAATCGTACTATCTGCGCATGAAAAAGTAAAGCATTTACGTCTTGCAGGAACGTTGAACGAAATAAGAAGTAGATTTTGGATTTGTAGGGGACGACAGGTAGTGACCAAGTGCATTAAAGATTGTGTCAAATGCAAAAGAGTGCTCGCAAAGACTTTACATGGTCCTGAACCACCAAATTTAACTAGTTTTCGAGTGGCAACACATAAATTTGCGTTTGCCAATATTGGATTAGATTATGCTGGCCCCCTTTTTGTAAAAAATATTTATGGACAAGAAGATTTTATGTATAAAGCTTACGTATGTTTATTTACCTGTGCAACGTCCAGAAATATTCATGTGGAGTTAACACCATCCATGCAAAACTGATTCGCTAATAAGATGTTTAAAACGTTTTATAGCTCGAAAAGGAAGTATAGAGATGGTAATTAGTGATAACTTTAAAACCTTTCTCAGTGAACAGTTAAAACAGTTTCTTGCAAAGGATATTACTAAAATAAGGATATTACGTATATTACTAAAATTTACTTAAGAAGAGTTGTTTATCTATTGTTCTTGGATACTTAGTATCTCAGGGTCGGAAATGTCGAATTTTAGATTTTTGTAAAAACCAGATCAATCAGTAATAAGAACCGTACGCGTCATGTGACGTTGTTTCTTATATTGATTGGTCTGGATTTGAGATTGCAAAGCATTATTGTTAAACCACGTTTTTATTTCTTGTTTTTTATAATGGTAGCGGTATTGTTTTTTTTAGATTTTACTATTTAAGTACGTTATCTTGTATCTTGTTAAAGAGTATAATATTGAACTCATTTCAGTCTGATCTTAAAAGAAACAAATATTTTTTTTTATGGTTAAACTGCTAAATTTCTTTGCTTTAATAATATATTGAACACCCTCTTCTGACTCATCAATATAGTTGACACAAGCAGTAACAGAATTTTGTAACTTACTAGTAACACTTTCCAACATATTACTATCACAATATATCCTTTTTTTTGGTGTGTTATTAGTTTTTAAAAACAAAGGACCTTCCCACCACAAGCAATTGCTCTGAAACGTTAACAGATTAAAGTCTCTAGTCGGGATATCTGCTGGATTGTTTTCTCCCGCAACATGAAACCAATCATTTTTGTTACTCAATTCTTAAATTTTAGACACACGATGCTGGATCCATGGCTTCCAGTCTCTTTGAGAATTTCTTATCCAGGATAAAGATATTTCACTATCTGTCCAAAAAAATTTTTCTCAACAATTAAAACGTCTTTAAATTCTTGAACAACCGTTTTTATCAAGTTAGCTAATAACAAACAGCCAAGTAGTTCTAAACGTGGAATTGTTAACTTTCACAACGCTCTAGAGCTGAAAGTTCTGTCTTATTCACATTCATTAAAGTTCCAATAATCATTTTTAAAGTGTCTTGAAATAATAATGAATAATTCTTGTGGAATTCTTTTTGAGATAATGGGTATAAGAAGGGATCCATAAGTACATGTTTCAACATTTAGGTCCTGGAATTTATTTCTAAAAATAAGAAATATGTTTTTTGTTTTGAGAAATAAGTTTCTTAAACTATGATCAATAGATTTATAGTTTTTTTCTGAGTTCTAACAGGGACGGAACCAGATTTTATAAAAAATTTGAATATTAAGGTTTCAAGTTAAACGCGATTTTATAAGCAACCAGGCCCGTACCCTGCCCTTAAAACTCAATAAATGCGCTTATTAATAATAAATCCTATTGATAATACAATTTATAATATTATTAATAAAATTATAATAATGTATATATGTATATATATATATATATATATATATATATATATATATATATATATATATATATATATATATATATATATATATATATATATATACACTGAAAATAACACCTTTGAAATAAAATTTCAAGGTCCAAGAAAAAAAAAGACATTATTGTAAACCAAAAAAGCCAGTATTTTTCCTTGTATATCCGTTAAGTAATTTATTCGAATTGTTTGTTTTATTTGTTAATAATTTATATGTTCTCATAAATTATGGCAACTTATTGTGCAAATATTTTCAAATAACTTAATTCCTTAATGTTTTAAAAAACAATACTGATGTATTGGTCAAGTTTTTTATGTTTATAAGGAGAATTAAAAATGATGGAATATTTATATTATATAAAGCTAATTAATTATTTTCTATGACAAATGAAACCATATTCGGACTTTGATATTTAAATACATATGAGATTAAAAATATGTATAAGTCTTCTGAAAATACAAAAATCTCCTTTAAATTTAAATCTTGAAATGTGTTTTTCTACTATTATAAACAATAACTGATCTCAGCAGTTTTTATTGGTACAATTTGTGACAGCTTGAAACTTTGTGTCCTTGCTCATAAAACTGTTTGAAGTCATAATGAACAGTTTTAGAAGCCTTTTCTGACCGAAAACTATTGTATTTATCAGCCATTGATTCCAAAAAAGCTGGTACATGGATAACTATACCATGTACTTTTGGGGATTCAATGCCATATATGCTTTATTGTAGGAATTAATGTGATTCTTGTAAGAAATATCCGAAATTAAGCCATAATACAATTTTCTTCACATTATTTAGTGTTTTCATTACACTCATAAGTTTTATCAATTCATTTGGTACAACTTCGAAATTGGATTTGAGAATATTGTCAAATGTTTCAATGTTATCCAATAGCTTTGACCACTGTCCTTCCTTGAACTGGCCGCAGTGTAATCTTGGCCTAATAAATTTAATTGATTTATTCCACATAATCATGGATTTTTTCTGTTTCGTTTTTTAAAAGTGTTTTATCACTTATATTAAACAATCAGTTTGTGTGAAGATCCATTGAAGGAAAGATTTCTGAAACAGATGTATTATCTGGCAGATCTATCAAACGAGTTTGGACACAATTTTTAATTGGTGCAGCCGACAATTTACTTTTTTTCTGTGACTCTCACAAGCTTTTTTGTTCTTCTTTGCATTATCTCTAATCATACCAAGTGTTCTGGAAAAAAATTAGATTAAAATCCCAACTTAAAAAAAAAATATACAAAACAATGTTTTGACTGTAAATAAATAATTTATAATGCCATACCAAATTCTTGTTACTTTTTGCGGCCACAGGTTGTGAAATCCTGCATGTCTTCTTTGACAATTCACACTAACTGCAAAGGTTAGTAGAAGAAGCAGCTTCAATTCCGAAATAAATATTTGCAAGCTTTAAGTCAAATGCTAAAAAATAGTTCTTAGTCGCAATTCCCAATATTTCTATGATTTGCTAAATGTTTAGGTGATTCTCTTTAACATCTTCAACAATAACCAGAATAATAAGTTTCTTAACTCCTCTGTCCTTGAACTTTTCTTGCTTTACTCCTTCTCTGTATGAGAACTTGGTTTTAGGTTCATTCACTTTACAATCAAGAATATTTAAACAAACCTTTAGAAATCCTCCTTCCTCCATTTATTCGAATCTTTACAATATAATCTCGTGATATACCTCTTTTTTCCACTAGTTGATTTATTAGCTCAGACACATTTGTACAGTAGGCTAAATATTTTGTTTACTTATTGATTTGAAGTTCTGCAACATTAAAGAAATTATCTAAAATATATTCTTGAAACGTAAGTTTTTCTTTTAGATTGGCATCAAAAAATCTCTTCCTATCCAGCTCCTAAAATCTTTACAAGCAGTTTCTGTGAGGGAATCACTTAACCCTAGTACATTTTTGAATATCGTGACTTCACTAGCTAGCACCTAGTTTTCAGAAAAAAGAACTTTCAACTATGTTTTCATTGGAATTTCGATACTAAAAATTTTAGGTCTTTTGTTAGCAAGCTTTATTGAATCACCTGCATCCACTTCAGGTAGTTTTTGCTTTAGGATTTTAGTACAAAAAAGCTTTGGTACCTTTCTCATCTGAAATATATTAATATATTTAATATAATAATCTCATCTGAAATATATTAATACATTTAATATCCTAATATATTATATCTTTAACATCAAAAATTATAAACCCACATAATACTATATTTTATTGGTTATAACGTAAATTATTATTGTACAAGTGGTTTTAGGTTAAGTAATTATTATATATATACATACTGACATACCTCTAGACAGAGACGCCTCATGATTATTCCTACAAATTGAAATATTGCAAGAGTGAGGTAAACCGCGGTCTAACTTACACAGACATCTTTGACATACAGATATGAGTAGGGGAGGTGGCAGAACTGATTTAGTGGATACTCGTCTTCCTTTTTTTCGATTTTTTCCTGATCCTGGGTAGATAGTTTTCTATGCAACAACACAAACTGCACACTGACATGTAGTCTGACTTCTTGTAATAATTGAAGTTATTATTCCAGAAAAATCATATAATGCTGATAGTGCTTTTGGTTTATTTATACCTTTTTCAATGAGTTCCAGAAATTTTATGTTGCGCGAACAGATACCAGAAAGAAAATATTCCTTAGCCAAGTCTAAACTTAAGATAAAATAATTTTGAAGTCTTTTATAGGTTGGGC